AAAAGGAAAGCCGAAGTCAATGGCTTGGCTTTGAATCGGCATCAATGATGGAGAAGGGCAGGGATACCAAAATCAGGAATTTTGAATGCGCGGCCGGTTCATGTCTTTGCTCTGGTCCACACCTCCAACAGCTCACCTCCTCCTTTTTTAACCTCTCTCTTTCCCCCGACCCGACTTTCAGAATCAGAGTGCAGATGAAGAAGTTTTAAAGCCTCATCCTCATCTTCTTCCTCCTCGCAGACCCCCACAGCCACAGTCTCTCTTCCTCCTCCCTTCCCAGCCCTAATTGGAGTCTAAAATCAAGCTTTTTTTTGCGATGGAAAATGGCTCCAATCCGAGGGGGAGAGAACTCTCATCTCCCCACGCTTCCTCCCCGAATTCGAGTACGAGCAGCAGCAGCAGCAATGGAGCTTCTCTGCCTCCAAAGGCGGCGCCTTTATCAGTCGCGCCGGCGACCCCCAAGTCAACCCCGAGACTACCCATCGACTCGAACCCATACCCGACTACTTTCATCCAAGCAGACACCTCCTCCTTCAAGCAAGTTGTCCAGATGCTCACCGGCGCGAAGCAAACCGCTGCTGCGCCGAAAACCTCGATCTCGCCGGCGGGGAAGACGACGGGTCCCAAGAAGCCAGCTTTCAAGCTCTATGAACGAAGGGGTAGCATGAAGAATCTAAAAATGATCAGTCCGATGATCCCGTCCTTCGCCGGAAGATCTAACCCTAATTCTCCGGCCGCCGCGGCTTTCTCCCCGAGGAAGATGACGGAGATCTTGTCGCCGAGTATGCTAGATCTGCCATCGCTGGCCTTAAGCCCCGTTACTCCGTTGAACTCCGATCCTTTCGATCGCGACGTGTTGAAGGCGGAGGAGCGAGCCATCGCTGAGAAAGGTTTTTACTTTCTTCCTTCACCGAGGACGACGCAGGAGCCTCCAAGATTGCTTCCTCTGTTTCCTGTTTCGTCCTCAGAAGTTTTGTCTTCTTCGTTTACTTGATCAAGATGAGGTTTTTGGCGTTATGAAATTGGGGGTATTGTGTCTTCTTCTTCTTCTTTTCTCTCTCTCTCTCGGGCTGGTGTGTTCGTCGTCTTCTTCCTGATCAGGAGAAAAGGGTTGAGTTGCCATTTGATTGATCTCTGATTCAATTTTATAATATGAGCACTCTTCTTCCGGTTTTTCTGTCTGCGTTATGTAATTGACTAAGTTCTCTAAAGCATGAGATAAATTGAATGATTTGAATATCTGCGCCCTTTTCTCTTTTTCTCTCTGCCTTGTTAAATGCGAAAAACAGGATTTTTTTGTTCTTCAGCTTCTCATGCTCTGCATCTGCATCAGAACATAATGATAAATTTTGATTTTTTTTTTTCCTAACTTTCTGAGAAATTGAATATCAATGCTTAGGTTAGAAATTTGGAGCTTAGAAATGCTCAAATTGGTATAATTGAGTGAACAGGAGACCCCAATTTCTCTATGCTACCTCCACACCATGGATGCCTTTATTTTCTCTCTCTGGAATGAGGAATTAGTCGCGAGGAAGACGAAGAAGGATTGCGGCGCTGGCTGTGGGGGCCGAGCAGCGGATCAGGGCGGGACGAAAGCCAAGGGTAAACACGTGACCGTACGACATGTGTCACGTGACCTAAGCCGGTTCGACACGGAAAAGTAAGCTGCGGTGCGGTCTTCTCTTAGTGGGCCCCGCCAAGACGGGCGGGTGTGACGGATGCGTCACCGGTCACTGATGGTGTCTTGATCCGCTGTTGTTTGCAGTACACGGAACGGCGAAGGTAACTAACCGGTTCTGGAGTTGATCTGGTGGCTTCTGCGGGGTCCGAGCGCCTTCGGGAGTTCGTCTGGATTTTCTGGCCTGACAAGTCTTCAAATTTTATCCCACAACTCTCTGTGCATTTATAATAATTATTACAATTTTTTTTTTTGGGAAATTATCAGGCACGTTCTTTTTTCTGCAAAATAATGCGAAAATAAATTTTATAATAAAAAATAATTAAATGCATTGGGATTTATGTGCTTGAACATAATTTTTTCTTATATCAATGAGAAAAAAATCGGCCGAATTACACTCACAATTCAATTCACTTAAATTTTTCATAGTCTCGCATAGTAATGAATCATTGTCTTAGCGTTGCACGAGAATTTAACATACTTTCAGGTAAAAGAAAACAACCAATAATGATATATGAAGTTTTTATATGAAAAACACTTAAAAGGAAAAAAATCACGGGGTTTGATACATATATAAAAATTCACTATAGGTTGATTACAGAGAGCTCTATTCCCACACACAAAAATGAATTATTAGGTTTTTCAAGTTATAACGTCGACTAACGATTTTTGATAGGAGGTGGTCGACTGTGATTAGTAGTGATCGATAGTGGTTAGCGGTCGACGACTGTTGCGTTCTGCGATCGGTGATCGCCTGCGGTCGGCGATTGTCAATGATTTCGATCAACGGTGATTGGTGGTGCTAGACTTCAGCTCCTTAAAGCTTTAAGTTCTCTCGAGCCTCCAACCCCCTCTGATGAGAAGGGTTGTGCTCTATTTATAGTTTTTTGGGCGCAATGAATGCATGAATATGAACCACTTTGATTGGACTGTCCAGAGAGCTTCTTTTGGTCATACGATGTTTGCTGGGACATTTGAGTGCCTGAGCGATGTCAGAATTGAACAATCTTGGGCTCATTGGATTCGTCGTGTCGAGACGCTTGATTTAATTATAAGCTTGCTAGATTCGACATTCGTTTAACCTTCTGAATATATCCAGAAAACTTTCAAGTTTGGTTTAATGACTTGATCTGAGGTTGATTTGACTCGGATTGAACTAATTTCCGTAAAATTGGGTTCTTCTTGTCGAGATGCTCAATTTGACTGTAAGTTTGTTGAAATTAGAATTATGGATGAGTTTTTTATCGAGGTTTAAATATTTGTCACTCAAAAAGTCATCTCGAGATGTATGTTATGCATTCAGATACATATCGAATGATAGAGATTTGTTGAAAATGTATCACATATAAATAATAGTATAAATCATGAATATTTTAAATATAGAAAAAATAAATAGTCGCCTTTCCTCAAATTAGATTTTCATAATATAGACAAATTAATAATTAGATTATCCTGAATTAGATTACCTAATTTCAATTTTTTTAACATACACAAATTTTAAATTATAACAATTAGATTTTAATATTTTTCATTACACCTCTTTCATCTATTTTTAAAATTTTCATCTTAATATCAAAATTCATGATAAAACTGCCAAACTTATATTTCCTATTTTTATCAAATTCTTACTGGTTTGGTGGAGACACGAGTAAATACATCAATTTGATAGTTCAAAAAATCACTTGAATATTTTATTCACACATATAAACGTTTCAAGTACTATGGGATATTTGATTTCCTATATTTTGATTTTCAGTATTTATAAGATATATAAATCAATTAAATTAAATAAATACCCTTGATTTAATTTGGGAATGTTTTTATTGACCTCATTTTTATGAGGCCTGTCTCTGTCTCTCTCTAGAGCCTAGGATTGAGCAATAGGACTTTCTTGCTGACTCTCCTAAAAGACTAGTATTGGGACCCACACCACTTTGAATATTCAAACCACTTCTTAACTTCTTCTAGTCTCATATGTGTGGTTTTGAATCCTCAACATTTAGTTGAGTCGATTAAAACCAACATATTGAAACTCAAATTGAGTTCCTAAAGGATTGGAGAAGCCCTAAGAATACCATTCAACGTATGTCAAGAGCCACATTGCTGTAATTGTTCTGCTACACTTCGGCTCTCTCCTAGGCAAATACTGGCCCACATTTTGCTTTTGTGACGACTCTGATTGGATCAACCAATATCGTTCGCTACGCTGCTCGATAAACTGGCTCAAATTGGCTTGATTGCTGACGAATTTGTCCAGACGACCCTGAATGATGAAACAAACCGTGCGAGTGCGTCTGTAACGTAGAATTTAACTTAAGAAGACATCCACATTGTTATGGTTTCATGTACGTGCAAATAACAAACATATCTAAACATTCAAAATTAAATATTTAAAAAATAACTATGTAAAAAAAAAAAAAAAAAACCTT